TGCCAGTGCACAGAAGTGCTGTGTTGGTGGCAAAATTTAAATCCTACCATGCGCTATAGTGAATAATATATCGCATATGCAATACGCCTTTCTAACATGAACTATGTTGTAACGTGTTTGGTGTGTTACCTGAAGTTGTTTCTATTATCTTACTAAATTGTTCTCTCCTATATTGTCTCTGCAAGAATTCTATTGAGTCATAATTTACAAAGGCATTTAAAATCTTTTTTTCCAAAATTTTTTTGCTGTATGCAGTACCTTTTTGCAATCTTTTTTCCATTCTCAAGCGCCCAAATTATTTGAATTGGAAAAAGTTCTAAGCAGGACCACTTTAACAATAGCCAACTCACAGAGCATACTCTTATCAAACATGTCTGACTTTTGGGTTGAGTATCTCGATAATCCAACGTTATCAGTTCTTCCCCATGACTATTTAAAACCGGCAAATAACAAATCAGTTGAAGGTAACTTGAGTTTCTCAATTGCTGATAAAGTTCCCAACTTCACCACTGGATTAGCTGTGTTTGCCGCATTGGTTTACAGATTGACCGGTGATGAAGACATTGTGATTTCAACTGATGAGTCCCCAGGGTCACGTGAGTTCATTATCAGGTTGAACTTGACACCAGAATTGAAATTTAGTGAATTAGAGCAAAAGGTACGAAATGAATTTGACAACAATGTCAAACAGATCAATTATCAAACATTGACTGAAGTTTCTGAAAAGATCAAAATTGCTAAAAAGTTAGACGACAACCCTGGTCTTTTCAAACTATCATATCAACATTCAAATCCTAAGCAACAATTGAACACCACCGTTCAGGGTTCGGTTCGAGACTTGGCAATTTACACCAATGGAACAGAATATACCATTTTCTACAATGCCTTGTTGTATTCTCATGAAAGAATCAAGATTTTTACTGAACAGTTTTCCCATTATGTTTCCGAAGTTTTGCAAGACCCCAGCGTTATCATCACCAAGGTCAATTTGGTGACCCCAACACAAAAAGCCAACTTACCAGACCCAACCATCGACTTGGACTGGTCTGGCTATCGTGGAGCTATACAGGATATTTTCCAATCAAATGCCGAGAAGCACCCAGAGAAGACATGTGTTGTTGAAACGGCTTCCTTTATGGACCCCAACTCAAAGACAAGAACTTTTAGTTATAAACAAATAAACCAGGCATCAAACATAGTAGGTAACTATTTGAAGAACACTGGCATTAAAAAGGGAGATATTGTGATGATTTACGCCTACCGTGGAGTGGATTTGATGGTTGCAGTGATGGGGGTCTTGAAAGCAGGAGCAACTTTCTCAGTTATTGACCCTGCATATCCACCAGCAAGACAAAACATTTACCTTTCAGTTGCTAAACCAAGAGGATTGATTGGATTGGAAAAAGCGGGAACTTTGGATAAACTAGTTACTGATTACATCGATGACGAATTGGATGTTATCACCTCCATCCCGCAGTTGAAAATTAATGACGATGGCTCGTTGGTTGGTGGCCATTTGAATGGAAAAGACGTTCTTGAAGAATATGCCAAGTTTCAGGATCAGCCCACCGGAGTCCTCGTTGGTCCTGATTCAAACCCAACATTGTCTTTCACCTCTGGTTCTGAAGGTGTTCCAAAAGGTGTTCTTGGCCGTCATTATTCATTAGCATACTACTTTCCTTGGATGGCAAAAAGATTCGGATTGTCTGCAAATGATAAATTTACAATGTTATCGGGAATTGCCCATGATCCAATTCAAAGAGATATGTTTACTCCTTTGTTTCTTGGTGCCCAATTGTTAGTTCCAACGGCAGATGACATTGGTACACCAGGAAAATTAGCTGAATGGATGGCAGAGTATGGCGCATCAGTGACCCATTTGACACCAGCTATGGGTCAATTGTTGAGCGCAGAAGCAACCACAGCAATCCCATCGTTACACCATGCATTCTTTGTTGGAGACATTTTGACCAAGAGAGATTGCTTGAGATTGCAAACTTTGGCCGAGAATGTTTACATTGTTAATATGTATGGAACTACTGAAACACAAAGATCGGTTTCTTACTTTGAAATTGAGAGTAGACGGGCCGACCCCAACTACTTGAAGAATTTGAAGGATGTTATGCCTGCTGGAACTGGTATGGAAAATGTTCAGCTTTTAGTGGTAAACAGAAACGATAGGTCTCAGACATGTGGTGTGGGTGAAGTTGGGGAGATTTATGTTCGTGCAGCAGGGTTAGCAGAAGGTTATCGCGGATTACCAGATTTGAATGCGGCAAAGTTCATCACCAACTGGTATGTTGATCCAAATAGGTGGATCGAAGAAGATAAGGCCAAGAGTGCCAATGAACCTTGGAGAAGTGCCGGGTGGCTTGGTCCAAGAGATAGGATGTACAGATCGGGTGATTTGGGTAGATACTTGCCTGATGGTAATGTTGAGTGTTGTGGAAGAGCCGACGACCAGGTCAAGATTAGAGGCTTCAGAATAGAGTTGGGTGAAATTGATACCCATTTGTCTCAGCACCCGTTGGTGAGAGAAAATGTCACTTTGGTAAGAAGAGATAAAAATGAAGAACCTACGCTTATTTCCTACATTGTCCCTAAGGATTCACCTGAGTTGTCTAGTTTCAAGTCCGAGTTTGACGAGGATGCCAATGAAGCCAAGGATCCAATTGTCAAAGGATTGGTTGCCTACAGGGAGTTGATCAAGGACATCAAAGCTTACTTGAAAAAGAAACTAGCATCGTACGCAATTCCCACAATCATTGTCCCACTTGTTAAACTCCCATTGAATCCAAATGGTAAAGTTGACAAGCCAAAATTGCCATTCCCTGACACCGCTCAACTTGTTGCTGTATCGAGATTGAGTACGTCTGCTAAGGACATCGAGGCTACCGAAAAGGAAGAATTGTCAGATTTAGAGCAACAAATCAAGGATCTTTGGTTTGATGTTTTACCAAACAAGCCATCCAGCATTAGCAAATCCGATTCGTTCTTTGACTTAGGCGGTCATTCTATTTTAGGAACAAGAATGATTTTCGAATTGAGAAAAAAGTTAAACGTTGAAATTCCACTCGGAGTAATTTTCAAAAACCCCACAGTTGAGCAATTTGCTAAAGAAGTTGAAAAGGTAATTAATGGGAACAAAGATTTTGAATTTGCCGGAACCAACAAAGGCGAAGGGACTGATGACAAGGATGATGCCGAGAAGGAAGTTGCTATAGACTATGCCCAAGATGCCAAAAATTTGTCATCGGTTGCTTTACATGCAAATTACGATTCCTTGACTACTTTACCATCGAAATCTGTCAATGTCTTTCTCACTGGTGCCACCGGGTTCTTGGGATCATTCATTATTCGTGATTTGTTAGAAGCTAGAAGAAGCAAGCTTGATACAAAGGTTTATGCCCATGTTAGAGCCTCGACCAAGGAAGCAGGATTGGAGAGAATTCGTCAAACAGGTATCACTTATGGTATCTGGCAAGAGTCTTGGAAAGACCACATTGAGGTTGTTCTCGGTGATCTTTCTAAAGAACATTTTGGCTTGCCTGAAGAGGAATGGAAGCTGTTAACAAACACAATTGATATTATTATCCATAATGGTGCATTTGTTCACTGGGTATATCCATATTCCCAATTGCGTGATGCAAACGTGATTGGAACTATCAATGTGCTCAATTTAGCTGGTGAAGGTAAACCAAAGAATTTTGCATTCGTCTCTTCCACATCTACCCTTGATACTGATTATTTTGTAAACTTGTCTGACGAGTTATTAAAACAGGGCAAAGATGGTATTCCCGAATCCGATGATTTGGAAGGCTCATCTAAAGGGCTAGGTAACGGATACGGCCAGTCGAAATGGGCGGCTGAGTATATTGTTCGTCGTGCAGGAGAACGCGGATTACGTGGTTGTATAATACGACCAGGATATGTCACTGGATTCACCGAAACAGGTGCTTCAAATACCGACGACTTTTTACTAAGAATGTTGAAGGGAGCTACCGAGTTGGGCTATTATCCTGATATTACAAACAACGTCAATATGGTGCCAGTTGATCATGTTGCTAGAGTTGTTACAGCTACTGCTTTGAACCCTCCTAGTAACGTTGCTTTAACGGTTGCACAAGTTACTGGCCATCCCAGAATACAATTCAACGAGTTCTTGGGATGTTTGAAATCATATGGGTATGATATCAATCCATCAGATTACCCAGTATGGACTAGTAAGTTGGAGACATTTGTCGTTGATGAACTGAAGGAGAGTGCATTGTTCCCATTGTTGCATTTCGTTTTGGATAACTTACCCCAGGATACAAAAGCACCTGAGTTGGATGATACCAATGCCAAAGCATCATTGAAGAAGGATGCTGCTTACACTGGTGTTGATTTGAGTTCAGGTAAGGGGGTTACTCTTGACCAAATGGGTGTTTACATTAGCTATTTGATCAAGATTGGGTTCTTGCCTAAACCTCAAGGAAAAGGTGAAAAGAAATTAGCTGACGTCGACCTTAGCGAGGAGGCTTTGAAGCTAATTTCCCAAGGTGCTGGTGGAAGAGGTTCAGCAGCAAAATAGGAGGTAAAATAGAGTTGTATAGTAATAAGGATATATATATATATGTATGTGTTATTTTTAGAATCGTCGTTGCTGTAAAAGTGGCACAAAAATGGTACAAAAGTGGAAACGCAAAGTAAATAAAATTTTGATAGTTTACTTTTTTAGTGCGAGAAAGAGAGAGAATGACAGTTATCACTAAAACATTAGACATATTCCATTTGTAATTCAAAGATTCACACACACATATATTCAGAAAGGTGGCCACAGTGGTTATAAACAAAGAAGGTCATTAATAGCATCAAAAATAACCAACATAGCTACAAATGTATTTATTGTGAAAAATTAAGAGGAAAACTGACTAAATAATAGATCAACGTGGATGTACTATTCTAATAACATGGAAGATACCACTACCTCAACACGATCGAACTCAGAATCAAGTCTACGACTGCAGCAGCTAATAGATAGAAATGAACCAGCTCAGCCACGAAGCGAAAAGGATGGAGACCCAAAGAAGCACGACCAGAGAAACGAAACCAATGGCAACACAAATGGGAGGAGGAAACAATCGGGCTCATCTAATGGTCGACGAATATCGAGCAAGTTTAGAGATATGAACTCGTCCAATGGAAGCTCCCCACTAATTGATACAAGTAGCATTAAATCATACTATCCTGTTAACAATTCTTGGCAAAGTCAATCGCCTCTGCAGAAATATTCTACTCAACGACTAACGTCTTCAGGACTGGACAAGTCACCATCAGTCTACCAGATGAGTAACAATCAATCAGATAGTAGCATAAAGACACCACGGTATTATCAGCACAAACGAAAATCAACATCTTCTTCTGCATCTTCAGGAACGACTCCACCAGCAGTATCTAAATCCAGCGATAATCTACGTATGATGCTCGATAAAGATCGAATTACCCCGCCATTATTTTCACGCGATGATGGTGGATCAGGCTACTTTAACTTGGATAGGTCCAAATGGAAAGGTGGAGCACCGCAATCGATTATTAATGGATCTAGTGGGAAGTCCGATCGACTCAAGCTGTCTGTAGTTAATGATAGTTCTGGTTCTGGATTGTTAAACAGTCCGTGGTTTAGAGATTTAAAGGGAAATAGTAATGCCAGCGCCAATGGGAGCAGTGCCAATGTTAGCACTCCCAATTTGCATACGCAAAAGATTGAGCACTTACGAAAGGAGCAAAAGAATCGACTAGTTGATCAGTTTTTAAATTCTTCAAAAAAAATTCCCCCTTCGCCTGGGGGTGAGGTGAATGGAAGCAGATATTTTAACGAAGACATGTTACCTTCGTCATTGCTGAATAGTCATGTTAATTTGAGTGCATTATCGCAACTGAAACTTGGCAAAGGAGGAGTTGGAGTAAGAGGAGCTAGCGAGTGGAAAAAGCCGCCAGATGATTTTGTCCAGAATAAAGATGCGGTGGAACAAGTTAGAAAAGGAGAAAATTTGCAGCGGTTGCTTAATAGTGAAATTAATTTAGATGAAAAACAGGTTAGATTGGAGAAACAAGAGGAGAAATTGGAATATGAAGAAAAGAAAGTTGAAGAAGAAGCACCGGAATTACGACCACAGGCAATTCCACAGCTACCACAGAAACAGCAGCAACAGTTGGAGCAGGCGTTGGGGAGTGTTGGCAACACTGCTGGCAACAATAATACCTTGCCTGCTTATGCGAGTGAGGAGTTGGTTAATAATGTATTGAGTAACGGAGGATTTCGATTTGAGTACGACACCAAACATGTTATCGAAGATGATAAGCTTGTCAATTATTTAATTAATATTGATAATGTGTTGGAAGAGTTGGAAAAACGAAAACACAACCAACAACGCAATCAACGGCACAAGCATCTTAATGGTGCTGTTGATGATGACGATAGGTATGGTGATTTAATCAATATACTAGGCACCATTTCTGAAAAAGTCTTGATTAAATCAAAAGGTTTGATATATTCCAAAACCAACCCAGCAAAAGCAACCATATTACAACTCGACCTTGTATCACAATATCTCAAGACACTTGGCGACAATATGCATCAATTGAGACAAGAATTGGTCAATGGCTTATCACAAACGAGAGATAAGAATAGATCAATAATTACTGATAATTTATCCAAGTTGAATGAAATTGATTCGCAATTGAATGCCCTTGAAGCAACAGCTAATCGAAACAAGGACAAAGTCAACCAACAAAAGCAAATGATGAAGAATGAAGTAAATGAGAAATTGACGTTATTGGAGGAGATTAACAAAAAGATTGATTTACATAATCAGAATAAACGGAATAAACGTATCATTCGATCAAATGTTGTTCTTGCAGGATTGATTATGGTGGTGGGGATATATTTTGCGTTAAGGAGATGATAGAGTAAAAAAGGGGGTATGTAGGTTTTATGTGTATGGCAATTATAGATATGACCATGTTTGAGCTGTAGAAGATAAGTTCTTGAAAGGAAGACAGTGCTGGTGTATTGGTCTCTCTTCTGTGTTCTTGTTTACTTTGGGAAGTTTGGAGGAGTTTTTGGGGGATTGATATTTGTGTCGTATGATGGAGTCACCTGAAAGTGACAATGAGAATCATATGACTTTTCCTACACTCCACCTCGCTTCCCCCACACGGCGCTCATAAGAGACTGTACTAATTATTAGAAGCTGTCCAGTGCGTGGTGATGCTTAAAGCTGAAGACATTTTGTTGTTACAACACCTGCATCTCATAGATTAGGGAGGTTTGAGTAGAGATCTAAACTGCACTGGGAGGGAAGGGGGATAATATAAAGCGAGTATAGGAGGATAATCAGCTTATAATGACCCATAAATGCAAAAAAATGGAGCTTTTCAGCATAAATTAATGGATTCATAAAGTTCATAGCTTGAGCCTCTAGTAAAAGTTAATTGGTAGCGTCACGGAGTCAAGGAGAGTCAAGGGTAGAACAAAAAAAAGAAATTTAAAAATCCTTAAAAAAATAAAATTTCTTTTTTTTATTGTATTTTTTGTTTCCGAAGATTTTAAATTTCTTTTTTTTTTTTATTTTTTGTTTGAAGGAGGAGAGGAGGTCACATTTATCTCTCTTGACTATAAACAACCAAACTGTACCTGCAGAACACACACGCTACACTAGAAACTACAAATACACTGCTACTATCGCCATTACCACCATCACCACTGCTAGCTGATACTCATATCGATATCAAGAAAAAAACAAAAATCATATCCACTCCATTCCATTCCAACCACACTACCTTCCTTCTTTTTTCTTTTTTTTTTGTTTTCTATTTTTATTCAGTTATTTTTGCCTCGGGATTATAAGAGTTTTTAACATAGGATTTGAATATCTGACAAGCTTGATCATATCTTCTTTTTAATTGAAACAGAAACTATGCTTGAAATACTATCGTTATACAAGGACATCCCCACCTTCAAAGTGAAATCAAAGTACAGGACGCATGAACAACAACAACAACCGCAGCAGAGTCAGTATTTCCCAAATTTTAAGTTATTGGTTGAGTACTTGTTCAGAAAGGGCAGTCAAGAGGCAGATATAAACCACCCTATTCTCGTCATACTTCCTTCTGAAAAGGAAGATAAGCACCACCATCACCATCGCCACCACCACCCTCATCATAAACATCACCAACATCGACACCTGAATCGTCACCCACAGCAGCATCAACTGGACAAGGCCCATGCACTGTTAGCACTGCTTCTGTTTAAAGATAGAGTCATTTTATTAGACTACTTTTTTGGCCACTTGAACATTGTCATTATACCACATGATCACGATAACTTGCCTTCATTACAACACCAACTCAGTTCCATTGTTGATAAACTTTACCACAGAATATCTCGAATTGGTATTTGGTCAGGTACAACAATGGTACAAAATGCATTTGATACCAAACATAGAATACCGACAATGGCAGAACTATTGTACAAAAACATCACAAGATCGCGTCATGCTACTCAACATTTGTATAAATTGAAGCAATTGGTATTATCAGAGATTGATTTTTTCAACTTGTTATCCAACACTTCCCCTGCACATTTATCATATCTTTGTTCCACAGTGGGTAATTGGGCATTCCCAGCTCATGAGTTATCGAATGATGATCTAGTTTATTGTGTGTATGTGATGATCAATTATGCGTTACAACAAATTGCCCATTACCAAGAGGAAGCTGATGCAAGCTTTGTTAAGGATTTACATATTCCTGATAGAAATGAGTTGTTGGCGTTCATTTTCATTGTTAGAGATACTTATAGATCCGGCAACCCTTTCCATAATTTCCGTCATGCTGTTGATGTCTTGCAAGCATGCTTTCATTTCCTAGTTCGCCTAGGCTGTTTACCACAATTTAAACAATTTATTGTTGATCCTTATCAAGTGGATAAATTAGAATGGACTAAAAATGAGGAGTATGTTGAATTGATTGCCACTAGTCGTGTTTTCAGCTCGGTTGATTTGACGCAGGTTTTGTCAAAAGCGGTAGGCAGGTCTAGCAGCAGCGTTGGCGACAAAAGCAACTCCATTTCATCAATGTCATCGTCATCACTATCTAAATTGGATTCACCAGCAGATTCAGAAGTATCAACTGCTTCTACTGTAAAGCAACCTCGAAAACCCAATTTAAACCTAGTCCAAACGTTGGGCTTGTTAGTGGCTGCTTTAGGCCATGATGTTGGGCACCCGGGAACTACCAATGCATTCATGATCAAAAATAGGACTCCTACGTCATTAGTCTACAATGATCGGTCGGTGTTGGAGTCGTATCATGCATCAATATTTATCAATAAAGTGCTTAATGTGTGTTGGCCTAGTTTATTACAAACAAAGATCGATGAGGATTCGTTATTGAATTTACATGATTTAATCGTTTCTTCAATTTTAGCTACAGACATGGGAGAACATTTTGAATACATGTCTAAATTGAAAAACTTTAGTGATCGTACCAATGCAAATGACGATGCGTCAGACGCTGCTAGTGAAGCACAAGAGTCTATGAGTAACGACAATAAAATCAAGTTGATTTCTGCTCTACTTATCAAGTGTGCCGATATATCCAACGTCACAAGGCCGTTGCGTGTTTCATCACAATGGGCTGTTGTGTTGCAGCGTGAGTTTGACGAGGTTAACCAACTTGATAAGTTGTTAAACAAGCAACAAGAGGAAGAAGAAGAGCAACAGCAGCCTGGCCAACAAGAACTTACTGCTGATGATGATGATGACGATGAAGATACCGATACTACTACACGATCATCAATTTCGTCATCAAGAACATCATTCTCTGACGATGCTCAAGGAGCAGAATGGTTTTATGAATTAGAACAACAACAAGAAATTGAGTATGAGAACTTACCATTTGAATTGAATGAAATCTTGCACAATAAACCAAATATCCCCCTGGGGCAATTGTTTTTCATTGGCACGTTTGCTGAAAACTTGTTTAATAATATAAGTCAAGTGTATCCTAGTTTGAGTTATACTTGTCAGATTATTAATGATAATAAGCTGTATTGGTTGGAGAGGAAAGGGGAACTGAAGTGATGAAACAAGAGTGGGCGAGCAGTAGCTGAGAGGGATGAGTTAGTTTGATATTTATGGGATGGTTGTATTTATTTGTATTATGGAGAGGAGAGAGGAGAGAGGAGAGAGGAGAGAGGAGAGAGGAGAGAGGAGAGAGGAGAGAGGAGAGAATTGAGATAAGGGAGGGTAATAAATTTTGATGATTGTATGTTGTTTTTGAATGGGAATTTTATAGAAGAGATTGATTTTAGAGAGAGAGAATAGTGAACAATGTTAGAGAATTTAGCTGATTGGCGAACATATCGTTTTTGTAGAATATTCAACATCTCTGGTAATCAGGATTTAAACTCTAACACTATGTAGGTTTATTCAACACCACCAATATTTGATTAACAGGAACCAGAATCGACATTGCTTTGAAAATTCATTGGGGATTGAACGTAACTGGTCTTGTCCCCGAAAACTCAGTGCAAAAGAACTCTAAAAAGGGCTCATTTAAGATAAAAGGGATGTAAGAAACTTTAAAAGTGGGGAACGATTGCAAGGGTGATTATGTAACTCTAATGTACATTGGTTGATACAGCTTTGCAACGGATCAAACGTACGAAATACTTAACCCACTTGAAGTAGTAAATAAATAGTAGACATTGCTTTAATTTAATTACACACAGACAGTAACAAGCAAAAAGACAAAGAAGTTTTAACACCTAATGCATATAATAAAAGGATAAATTTCAGGTGTGTATGTGCATGAAGTATGTGTAGTATGGGTGTGGGGAACACCTCAACCATTTTTTAGTACAAGCTCTATTACACTGAGTAATGAATTAGTAAAAGAGACGATCGCAACTCTCAATCTAATACCAGAGATAGGGGTGATTATGGAGGGATAGCATTTCTTCCCAAGCCCCTACGCATATACGGTACATCTTTTTGTGGTCTAAAGAGGTTAATTTTGAAAATCGTTCCGATGGCAAGTAGCGATAATTTTTCCCATTAGATTTCTTTTTCATAGTTAGAGACAGAGAAGTTCCGGGAGGGGGTTCATTTAAAAGCCAAAAATCCGGGCGGGCTTCAATCGGTGGAAGAAACGTACACTTACCGGAAATGTAAAACTATGTATGTCTGCCTCTGTTTCTATCTCTGTACTGATTTCTACTCTCTCTTAAAGTTTCGTATCATCTGGCTCTTGGATTTTGGTGACTAGGCTCTTTGCCAAAAAGAAAGAAAGAAATAGAAATGATGAAAACTCCGTCTATACCCTCCCAACAATTAAAGAGAAAAAAGTGCCGTACGGAAAAATTAGGCAGACACAAATATTTTCTTGTTGTTACAATGATTGTTCCGAAAATATAAAATACGTAAAACAATAGATATAATGATAACAATAGTGAGATGGTTTTGGTGTGTGTGGGGAGAAAGTTGCTGAAGCGAAGGCAAATACAATAGACGAAAATAAGACCACATTTCACATACACACAGAGGCACAACTCAATCAATACACAGCGAGATTTGTTGTTTTAGTGTCTCTTCTGATAATATTGTCTTAAAAGAATCTAAGATGTTGGGTAAACCAAAGAAAATCCCCCCGGATTAACTTATTATGTTCCAAAACTGCAGTTCTAGATACAAGTTCAACATCTGGATCTTTGTTTTAAACGATCACATTATTCACTTCCTGAACGGCTCCTCCTCTTTCTTTGTTTTCTTTTGATTGTGTAGTGAAACGTACCCCAGATTGAAAGCCATAAGCTGGATCAACCGTAAATGTATTGTTACAGACACAGACGAAAGGAGGAAAAATTTTCGCATTTTTATTTTTTGGGTAAAGCATTTTGTGTTGAAACCTCACACGAACGACCGAAGACCAGGCTCTATTTTCGACTTACTAATAGAGAAAACCAAGTTATCCATTTCGTATGGAAGAATTGTAAGCGACGGCAGAGTCAAGTAAGGGTTACCAAAAGGGCTCAAAACCGGGTTATTTTGAGGTGGGTGTGCAATAAAAGTAGTGTGGGGAAGGAAAAATTCAGTTGTCACACAAACCGAACAATAACATGTCCTGTGTAAATTTTCAATCGTAAATGATAACATTAAGGAAGGGTATATGTATTGAACAGTACTTCCGGTAGTATCCTTCTGGGCATTCACCATTCTAAGCATAGTATCAAACAAAAGTAAAAAATCTCGTGAGCAATTGGAAAAAAAATAATAAGACGTGTTCATTGGAAATTGTGTTTCTGTTGCTGGTTTTGTATATCATTATTGGTATTTTCGTTTGTGTTTCTTTTGTATTTTTTGTTTTTTTCGTGTCTGAAAGTTGGAGAAGACATACAACCAGCCCAAAAGAGAAAAAATGATTTTTGTTTCTCATTTCATGGTTAGCAAAAATAACATGAATGTTTTTTTAAAGACGGGGGTCAGCCAATGACTAAAATAAACAACTGTCTCAGAACTGAAAGAGATGTCATAGCAAAACCAATCTCATGATGAAAGAGAAATTTAGTTTGGACGTTGCCAAGTATAATCAATGCCCTGGATCAAGTTTCGTAGTGGGGGGTGGGAGGGTAACAAGAATTGACGTTTGAAATGTATCAAATCGTAAATCCTTCCCTTTCATTTTGGGTGTTGGCTATTTTTATTTTTTTTTTGGTTGCTAAAGTATAAAGTTTTTAGTAAATGCTGTCCGACACAAACGTTTGTAATAATTATCAGTCTTTTTTTATAAAAACAATTTCAGTTTTGGTGTCTGTTTACACAAATGAGGGATTATTTCCTACTTTAGAACTTATGCCGGAGCCATACACACACTTTGATTTGTATACAACCGTAATCTCTAGTTCCTTCGGAGAAATGACAAGGTGTGAACCTTCTTTGCAAAACGAAAACAGAACAGAAATTGTTGTTGTCCATTAGAAGTGGGTTTCAGAATTTTTGCTTTTAGTAAGTGTAGTAAAATGGGTCGATATTGTTATTACGAAGACATGACTTTAGACGAGGGTAATAAAAAACAAAATGTACTTTCGGCAATTGTTGGGCAAGTTTTCTCAGTAATTTTGTGTCTATATCTAAAAGTGAACAATAATAATCATGTCCGTCTAAGTGTGCCAGGTCACTTGAAAAATAATGTAGTCTCAAGGTGTTATTGGTTACAAAGTCTACAAAGTATTTATTTAGTGCGTGATGTGTTTGGTTGTAATTTTTTCCCCTCAATGTGTTGAGGCTGAACTTAACTACGAAGCACCTGTACGACCATACACACGAACTTTGACCTAGGGAAGAAGGTGCCCGAGGTAAGGAAAAGTACGGCAAACAGCTTCAATACTATTACCATACACTGAGCTGAATTTAACAAGAAATCACCTGTTTTCTGTCATGAGGAAAAACTATTTTTAAATTAATCTTGGTTATTGTTAAATTTTCTTGGCGTGGTTCGGAAAGATTATACGGAAAAATTATTCATAAAAATATAATAAATAACAATGTGATGCTTCTTTTGTTGACCCCACCAATTTAGTAACATCCCACAAAACAGTTACAATAAGATGGGGAATTAGTGTCTGCATGAAAAGTTTTTTTCCGTGACGACATAAAAAATATACGCCTTTTAGTGGTCTTCTTTTTTCCTGTCTGAAAAGAGATGTTGTTTTTACGTGGAGATTTGTGTCATTTTGTTCATGTTTCATCTATTGTTTTATATATATGTGTGACTGAGCTATTGTTTTCACATACACTTTGTTAGCTAAGCCAGTAAAAAACAGACAATAAAAAAGAAAAAAAAACAATAAAAATATCAAATTCTCTTATTGTTTTTAGATTTAATCCGGTGGGGATAAATTACTAAAAATACGAAACTGTGCATTAAACAATAAACTTTTCTCATGGAGAAAACATTTTTCTTAACTATTGGAGAAAATGCCTTGAATGAATGATGAAGTATGCCGATCTTTTAAAGTTTAATTAATAGCGTAGTACTCACACTCTAGCTCGCCAACTAGCCAGCTAACCAAATTAAAAAGTGTATAAATAGTAGTTGATATTCCACTAAGTTCTATTTCTTGCATTCCTGTTTTCTTTGTTTCATTCATCATCGTCAGTTAGAGTTATTACAATTTCATAATAAAACAATGTCAGCAAAGATAGAAAGGATCTTCTCAGGTCCTGCTTTGAGAATCAACGAAGCTTTAGATCACTTACCAAAGATCTACAATGTTTACTTCATCGCCAGTATTTCAACCATTGCTGGTATGATGTTTGGTTTTGATATTTCATCAATGTCAGCCTTCATTGGAACTCCTTCATACATGAACTTTTTCAATTCACCAAGTTCAACCATCCAGGGTTTTATCACTGCGTCTATGGCCTTGGGTTCATTTTTCGGTTCCATCGCATCCACCTTCGTTTCGGAACCATTTGGAAGAAGATTGTCTCTTTTAACCTGTTCATTCTTCTGGATTGTTGGTGCTGCTATTCAATCATCATCACAAAACAGGGCACAGTTGATCATTGGTCGTATCATTTCCGGTCTTGGTGTTGGTTTTGGTTCTTCTGTTGCTCCTATCTATGGTGCTGAATTGGCACCAAGAAAGATTAGAGGTTTGATTGGTGGATTTTTCCAATTTGCCGTCACTTTGGGTATCTTGATTATGTTTTACATCTCATACGGTTTAGGTAAAATCAATGGTGTTGCTAGTTTTAGAATTGCCTGGGGTATTCAAATCATTCCTGGTTTATTGTTGTTTGTGGGATGTTTCATCATTCCAGAATCACCACGTTGGTTGGCAAAGCAAGATAAATGGGAACAAGCTGAGTTTATTGTTGCCAAGATCCAAGCCCGTGGTAATAGAGAAGACCCAGATGTCTTGATTGAAATTTCCGAAATCAAAGATCAATTGTTGCTTGAAGAAGCCTCTAAGTCTGTTGGATACGCTACTTTGTTCAAGAAAAAGTATGTTGTCAGAACTTTTACTGCCATCTTTGCTCAAATTTGGCAACAATTGACCGGTATGAATGTTATGATG